GTTGAAGCTTTTGTTTTTCATCCTCTGTCCACTTCCCTCTGGCTGACTTCACTTCGTAGGGACCGTCTTGTACAATGGTCCAGAGTTCTGGATCATACGAGAGGAAGAAGACTCTCATCTTGTCCTTCTAGTACTCATAATGAACTCCTTCAAATCTTGGTGGCCGATCTAACGAGAACCCATCACTGAGAAATAGGTCACCGTTGTTTGTCGACGTCGACGCCATTTTGCTTCTCCGGAGGCTGTTAAACCTAATTTGACGGAGCTGGGCTCTGATACCATTTGTTGGTACGTCGAGCGCGAGACGCCTTTCTTTACTTTGGCTCAATTCCACTTAATCGTTAGTCAATTAAGCCACCTGCAAAACCCATGCGAAACCTTGTGGCAAGAACAAGTGAGGATCTCAATGAAATGGAAAGTTTGATCGAGAAGCATCAACAAGCTTTGTTAGTTGGTGTTTGCTGAAAATGGATATGTAATGGGCTCAATCTATAGTTAGTTCCCAAAGCCCAATATCTAAACGTCCACACCTTAATATCACACAAGGCCCAACCAATTTCAACCCACAATTGTAACTCAAGTAAAACGTAGTGTTTCACAGGCTTGCACCCAATTACTTGACTAATCAAAACGGTGGAGTATTGAATTTTAAACACATACAGATTTCCCTCTTCGTCAGTTTTCGATCAAAAGCTACTCTGTAACTAAAGTCCCACAAACAGAGTAAAGAACACCAAGAACAAATAAGAACACAGCAAACTCAGCCAGAAATTGAAATGGAAACTATATCAAACCAGATCGTTTATCGGTTCACCAGACCCGTTCCGATGATACACTTGAGCTTCGCCTTCCTGCGTACGTCCTGGTCGATTTCCCCAACAATCAAAGACTAAACCAGGGCACACAAACAAACAATGCCGGAACTGAAACTGAAATACAAAGTAGGTAAACGACACACGTTTTTACGTGGTTTCCAGTATTGGGAGAATAAGAATCCCAATACTGACTACTCCACGGTCGGAGACTCACGGTTGTGTGATCTCCGACGATTCACTAATGATCTTGCGTTGAAGTTCGTCGTAACAATATCTATCCAAGAACACTTTGATCAATCTGAATCCGATTGATCAAAGTCACTCACACAGAACTCGGAATTGCTTCCCCAACAACTCGTAACCAGTGTCTCCTCAACACTAACCCTCAAAGTTGTTCTCCCCGAACCCTTTGAGAAATCCCCTTTTCTATCAAACTTTCTACACTCACAAAATCCCCTCTGGTCTAGCTAGCTTTGTTGATCTCCGAAAGGCTCTCCATCTGTAGTTGTTCCGGGACTCCTTTTATACTAAAGCTTGCATTTGAATCGACTTTCCTTGTTGGTGTGATCCTGATCACCATGGAAATGGTAAGCTCCTCCTTGCTTTCTCAATCTTTTCATTTTCCCGTTGAGTCTTCCTTTTGTGAGAGCATCTGATTAATTGTGAGTCCACCAAAAAGGAAGGTTACTTCTTTTAATGGAATGATGTTGTACAGGCTTGCATATTCGGCTTCTTCCAATTCCAATTATCTTAAGCAACAATGTAGCGATAGCCAATTCATTGTATCGCCAGGAGAAGTGATGTCACCAGCTAACTTCTTTCTCAACTTGGTCCTGTGTAGTAGGTACGTTTCTCTTCCTGCATTCCTCAGTCAAAGCATTAGTTCCAAATTCTTATTAACAATTGAGTTAATCATTCTTATTACCCTTTTTATGATTGAATCGAGATTGGCAAAGAACACGCTGCATCATTCAACCTTGTCCAACGACGTGAGACAATTCCACAGTTTAAGAGTAAATCACTAAACTGAATTTGCTCGTTTCAAGCTTTACAAAGTCAAGCACAAAATCACATAGCTTCACCTAATAACTCAGCATCAGTAATTCAACTAACTTAAAGCCTACAACCAGAACCTTATATTGTTTTGCTAATGAGAAGCTTTCTCTCCCAACAACAGGTTTCAAATTTTGTCTATTATCATCACCACAAGCTACTAAACCATTTCTAGACATGTATTTATGAGTGTTAAAGTTAACATGCCCCAATCGATTATGCCATAAATCAAATGAAGTACTTTATATACTATAATTTGCATGCACATCGATATAAGCAGAACCATCAACTTTATTATTAATATTACCATTGTCAATACTTAGCTGAAACATACCATCACTAACATAGCCCTTCCCAACGAACATACCAGCCTTGGTCAGAATCCCCCTATCAGATTCTATCACAACCTTTATCCCCTTCTTATAAAGCATGAAACCAGAAACCAAATTCTTTCTAACATCAGGAACGTGAAGGACATTGGTGGGAACAACTTCATTTCCAGATCCAAGAACATTGATCGTGCGATGATCACCAAACAGAACCTCATGTCCCTCCGTCGACTCTGTGTAGTCCTTGAACATGGATCTCTTGTTGCAAATGTGAGCAGTTGCCCCGAATCATACCACCAATCAGCACTGGTCATGACTCCAACCATGTGCAATTCCTGAATCATGCTCACATGTAAGTCGGAAATCATTGCAACAATCTCATTAGGCTCAACTTTCTCAATCACATTTGCAATTGCAGCCCTTTCGTTCTGGTTCTTCTTTGGATTAGGACATAAGCGAATAATATGTCCCAATTGCCCACAATTGAAACAATTCTTAGTGGACATAGGGGACGACTCTTTCTTTTTATTCTTCTGGTTGTTGGTCTAGTTGTTGGAATTATTCATGGCCTTTCTCTTCTTTCCCTTCTTGCTCTCCACAACATTCACTTTGGAACTTGATGGTGCCTCCGAATTTAGATCCTTGTCACGGATACGAGTCTCCTCCTCGATCCTAAGGTGCTTCTGAATCTGCTCCAAAGTGAACTCCTCTGACGTATGAAGTAATTTCTTCCTAGTTGTTCCATGATGGAGGCGACTTCGCAATAATTGCCCCCACCAGAAACGCATCAGGAAGAGTTATCTTCAACGCAGTGAACTTAGAGGGCAAGATTAGGAATTCATGAACGTGATCCAGAATTGAACGCTTATCAGTCATGCTAAATTCAAAGAACTAGAATGTGACAAACTTATCTGCGCCTTGTTTCTCTGATTTGTAATGGTTCTCCAAAGATGTCCAAATCTCAGTAGGGGTCGCCAACTGGGAATACAGATCATAGAGACGATCAGAGAGTGAATTGAGGATGTATCCTCGGCACAACAGGCTGTCATCACTTCTCTTCTTGCGCTCAGCCTTCAATTCATCGGAGTCAGTGTCTTGTGGTTCTCCTAGCGGCACCAAATCAGGATCCAGTATGTACACGATCTTTAAAGCAGTCAACAGAAACTTCATCTTCTCTTGCCAGCGGGTGAAATTGGTTCCATCAAACCGATTGAGTTTGTTGGAATCAGAGGCATACGCCTTCAAAGTGCTCTCCACTCCAGAATCCATTGTCACACGAAAATAAACACTCTAAGATTGTCAGGGAAACAGTATGGAGAAAACGGATTGAAGGCGTGATTTTGATCACTCTCCTTAGAGTGGTTATTTGCCCCCACTACTTAGTTGCTGGTAGGATTTAGGCAAACCACCCCCAGGAGTCCCTCCAATCAAAGTCATAAAGCAACACCTTTCGTGACTTATGTGTTTGTGTTTTTGGAGAAGGAAAAACGAGGAGAAGAAGATGAACATTGGACGAGAAGTTTGGCCGCAGAAGACTTTTATAGTGAAAACGGCAGTTCCCTTCCGAAGGGTTACGTCGTTTCACAAAAGTAAAAAATCAAATAATTATCCGAATTAATTAATTAAAATGATTTCGGTAATTAATTAGGAAAAATTCAAATCTGAATGTGTCGCGCAAACTTGCTAAGTGCGATTTAATATGTCAAATTAAATAGCCCACACTTTTTCCAAAAGCCACTAACCACTTTATCCAATAACTAAAGTGGAAAACAAACTTAAAAACAACTTACACTTTCCTTCTCCGACCAATGTGGTATTTCCTTTACTCTTTGACTACTCTAACATATTCAACTTCTCCTATTTTAGATATGTTACTCTTTGACTACTCTAACATATTCAACTTCTCCCATTTTAGATATGGCAAGATTCGTTCATTCCTTCGGCGTAAGCGCGAGCCCCTATTGATGAGGGGATATATGATTCCTACGAAAAAAAGTAATTTTTGAATGATAAAAAGTTTAATAATATTTTAACCACACCCATAGAGAATATTAAGAATTCCTGGAATGGTGGAAAAGAGGAAGAAAGATTTGTTGTTTTGTGGTGGTGTGAATGAAGAATGGCATGAAGAGTATTTATAGTTTTGGGATTTAGGAAGGATGGATCGATGTGGACAAAGCAATAGGCTCATCGTGATCATTAGTAATGATCCTGGTCATCCCATGGTGTCCTATCAGTACATATTCACCTCATTGCTTCTGAGCAGCGAGATGAAGAGCAATTTATTCTTCATGGCGTGCCCCAAAAGATGCGTCGCGTACTCTCGCTCAATTATGTCTACCCTTCAAGATACCTTTGGATTGTTGAGTTGGATGGTGTGGTGACCCTTGATTATTTGCCAAAATCGTGATTCAACTTCATCGCTTTCCTTGTAATGATGAACCATTTATCTCTTTAGTCCAAGGAAAAGAGTACTCGAGTAGCTTGTGCTTCAATCGATCTGTTCCAAATCGCGTAATTTGAAAATTTTGTGTAGACTAAATATTTTATAAAATAATTTATAGCAACGCGTGTACTTTGTGGGGAAAAAATTCAATTATTTGGAAAGGAAGATCATATATTATATTTTTTCCAAAACAATAAAAAAGAGTTATATTTGGAAAGGAAGATCATATAAGACTGAATGGTGCTTGTGTTTAAATGACTTGAATGAGAGTTTAACTCTTTAGTTTGCGTACAACTAGCTTGTTTTAAATGAGACTTGAACTCTCTGGTCTGGTTTGCTTCTAATTCTAACTACTTGTTTTGAAGATCATTTTTATTTGTATCGACCAAGTTGAAACTACAATTATGACTGTTCGGAGGCTCATAGTGATCGAGGAGATTTAGCCTAGCTTCCAGGGTTCCTCTTCAGCAAGATAAAAAGCTTTAAGACAGAGAAGAGAACTGAACAGAGGGAAAAGGTGAGAAGGGCTTTCTATAATATATATATATATATATATCTGGAAAATCGGGAATGAAGCAACTGGTACAAACAAATTTGAAGTTGGAACTCAAATCGACTCGAAAGAAGAAAGAACAAAATGTACATCCTCGCAAGTTCTTCCGGTTCCTTTTCCTCACTGTACTTTGATATTGCATACAAGACATCCGATGGGGAGACTTTTTTTTTTTTGTTTCTGGATCAAGACACTAAGGAATACCCATTAGCAGCATTCTTCTCCTATCAACACTTCTACGGTAATGGTTGGATGGTGTATCTTTTCTCAGCTGTCTGTCCTAAACCAGCTTTCCTCCAATCAAAACAAACTTCCCTTAGCCTGCCTCGTTTCAAAGCAAAACTGGGGAAAAGCCTTACTTGCCTGCTGCTGTGTGACCGTCAAATGGTTATGTATATACAACACGAGGAGTACTTGGCTAACTAAGCGTGCAAGTTAATACTTCTTGTTGTCCATCTTCTTCTTCTTCGTTGTCTTCTGGGTTTAGGCACTTTAGCCGCGCCACTAATACATCGAGAGCTTCCTTCATCCACCAGTGCTTACACGCGTCTCTGGCCTCGTCGACACTCAACTGAAATTGAAAGACCAAAATCGGATTCGATAAGCATATTGGAACAAAGGCATCACTCACTCCATCACAGGGTAATTGAAAAAGGGGGGGAAGGTTAAAATACCCAAACTCTTTTGCGGACATGTCTCTCTGGCCAGAAATCGAGCTGCTCAGTCACAAGCAAAGGGAACATATACCCTTCATAGAATATGCCATTGCTTTTGCTCATGAAGTTCCATTTCCCCAATTGATCCTATCAATAAGGTCAAAAGAAGGTAAGAGAAAATCATCAAACATTTGTCACAAAGATTGATAATTAAAAACAGAGCATCTTCTCCAATTGAATCTGATTCAATCAGAATTTGATACCAACCTCAACTGTGCCAAGAACTCCAGCTTCTTCAAACGATTCTCTTGAAGCAGCTTCTTGCTCAGATTCATCAAGTTCCCAACCACCCTGATATCCAAACACAAACCAAAATCATCAATCAACCAACCATTCATTCGAACACAGGAGAAAGCTAAGGTTGTGAATTTTAGATCTCAAAAGTTGAGGCTTTTAGTGTAGCAGACCTTAGGAAACATCATTCCTGAACCACCCTTTTGAGATGTGATAACAAGAACCTCCAATTCATCAGAAATCGACCCATCATCGTAGTTCTTGAATCTGTATGGAATGCATCTGTAAAATTCCAACAAAGAAAACCCACAACATTACTTCCAAAATTTCGAACTCGATCTCTAAACCTAACATCGTCAAATTTCTTTGAAATATCTCTTACCCGACGACTTGACGGCCGCCCGTGGGATTGTACCTCTGCAATTCCCTTCCAGTTCTTGCTACCAAACAAACCATTTTTGGGCGGTGGCAATTTATTAACCCAGAAACCCAAAATCTTCGCAACAAGATAGAAAGATAAGGAGAACCTCGGAAAAGGGCGGATGTAAAATTGTTTCCCTCCCGGACAATAAAATGAAGAAAATTTGCCACACTTCCCAACGGAGCAGTTTGGGGATTTCTGGTAATCCAAATTGGAGGGCGGGGGATATCCAACCAAACCCGCCGAGAAAGGTATTTGAGGAAAGAAGAAGAAGGGAAAATATAATGGCTCCTTCTTTCACAACTGGACACCGTTTAACGGTTCATATACAGCCAAAAAAAAAAAAAGCTAAACAAAACAGAGCTCTCTCCGTCTCACAACAATGGAATCCGGACAATGGGAGGAGCCATTTTTGTAGCTCTGATATTTATAGAAAAAAATTAAAAGAGAGAAGAGATGCGGAGGAGAAGATAGGGAGGGGGAAGGGGGAATTTTCGTGTGGTGGTGAGAGAGAAGCTTAGGCCGGGCCGCGTTAGGTACTCAAAAGAAATTAATAATAAAAATGATGACGAAAACACTAAAATAATTTGCAACTTGAAATCCATTTTGTTTCTAGTGTTAAGTTTTCTGAGATAATATATGTAAAATATGGTTGTTGTCACCAAAATAAAATACAGTAGAAATTCATGTATATTATTAAGTAAAAAACATTTTTGCGTTTGATCACGAAATATCGGTTGGCATGACTTTTAGTTATTCACTTTTATTGTTCTAAATCAAACTTTGATATCCAAATTTTCAGGTAGGATTGGACGTACGATATTTACAACCATGCATGATAAAATGAAGAGATTTTTTTAAAAATTGTAAAATTAAACGCCTTCAGTGTGAAGCAGTGCATAAATACATTATCTCTTGAACAGTCACCCATATGCAAAATCTTGCAAAGGCTAAACTCAATTTTGAAAACTAGGTCGGGATGTTATAAAATTATAATATCTTCCCTCTTGATTTTTTTATGTGTGTATTTTAAACAGGAAAAAATTATTTCATTATGCAAGTCACCTTCTCCCGCAATTATTTTGAAACAGTATAAATTCATAATCAGCCAATCAGTGAGATCTGACTATCGTAATAGATATATGATTTTTAATGCGCTGATATCTAAAGATCATGGGTTTGTTCAGAAATTTTTTATCATGACAGAGAAAACGGTGTTCTTGGAAAAGGGTTGTGTCTTTGTTAATTTATTATTTTACTTTGGTCGAAAATAGGCATCCTTATCCGGTCGGCTCCTCTCCCTTTCATTTCATTGCTAGCTCTGAATTGATGAGGCTCGGATGGTAAGTCTTTATCCGGCTGGCTATTGTGTGAACAACGTAAGTATATATGGAATGGAATGGAACTCAATTCATTCATACACTATAATGCTGTTGTTGATTGGTTCCTTTTCGCCTGGACTGGAGCAAACCTCTAATTAATTGACAAAGCTTCGCATGCTTTGGTTAGCTATCCATAATTGTTTTCTAATGAAAGATAAGTTGTCTGCTTGGGGTAAGCAACTCGATACCCTCTATTTGTTTGTGTCCAGGTGGTAATGAGAGTTGAGATCACCCGTGGAGTGGTTCCTGGTTCGTGTTTATGATATATACATAAAGTAAGAGCTAGTCAGATTACAGTGAAAGGAGGCATATACTCATCAATTGAAATTTGTCACCTTTAATTTTCTTAGTATACTACCTTTTTTTTTTTTTGCATTGAAAGGAGGCCACTGCCAAGAAAGCAAAAGCAAGAGCTACAGAGGCAGATTACAGTGAGGAAGAGAGAGGCGGCACAACTCGGCTTTCAAGACTAACCCCAAACATATCATCCCTAAGAATCGAGCTAGTCCGATCAGGGGATCCGCAAGCTCATGCATATCGTAAGGATAGACAGGACTGTGCTTCGAGAGCCAGTATGTGACTCTCTTCCCTTTTCGATATTATGAGTAATGCGAACCAACCAATCAAGACTAAGCTTTCTATAGTTTATCATGATTTTTATTACAAGTGTAGTGAATATTATCACATGAAATTGTTCATTCCGAACAAGAGATGACCATCCATCTCGAAATGAATTAGTATGATTATTGTTTTTTAGTACGCCATTGAGGCTATCAAACTCTATACCATTCAATTTTCTTGTTTTCCCTTTTTTAAAAATTTGACGGTCAAGATTACTCTCGAAATAGTTTTGTAAACAAAAAAATCTCACATATGATTATTATTTTTTACAACTCAACGTCTCCCCACCCCTCTCTCCCCACTGCCTCCCTCCCTCTTTCTCTTTGCCGATGAGCTCCCGCTGCCCTCCCTCCTTGCCTCTCTCTCCGGTGAGCCTGCCTCTCTTCCTCTCTCCCCCCCCCCCCCCCCCCCCCCCCGCCTCTCTACCATTACTCATAGTATACTACCTTTTTTTTTTTTGCATTGAAAGGAGGCCACTGCCAAGAAAGCAAAAGCAAGAGCTACAGAGGCAGATTACAGTGAGGAAGAGAGAGGCGGCACAACTCGGCTTTCAAGACTAACCCCAAACATATCATCCCTAAGAATCGAGCTAGTCCGATCAGGGGATCCGCAAGCTCATGCATATCGTAAGGATAGACAGGACTGTGCTTCGAGAGCCAGTATGTGACTCTCTTCCCTTTTCGATATTATGAGTAATGCGAACCAACCAATCAAGACTAAGCTTTCTATAGTTTATCATGATTTTTATTACAAGTGTAGTGAATATTATCACATGAAATTGTTCATTCCGAACAAGAGATGACCATCCATCTCGAAATGAATTAGTATGATTATTGTTTTTTAGTACGCCATTGAGGCTATCAAACTCTATACCATTCAATTTTCTTGTTTTCCCTTTTTTAAAAATTTGACGGTCAAGATTACTCTCGAAATAGTTTTGTAAACAAAAAAATCTCACATATGATTATTATTTTTTACAACTCAACGTCTCCCCACCCCTCTCTCCCCACTGCCTCCCTCCCTCTTTCTCTTTGCCGATGAGCTCCCGCTGCCCTCCCTCCTTGCCTCTCTCTCCGGTGAGCCTGCCTCTCTTCCTCTCTCCCCCCCCCCCCCCCCCCCCCCCCCCCCCCCCCCCCCCCCCCCCCCCCCCCCCCCCCCGCCTCTCTACCCTACGTGTCCCCTCCCTCCTCGCTTCCTTCTCTCTCGCATGAGAATTTTGCCACCAGTGATTTGCCTCTAGTGCGGCAACCCTCGTTCAGATTCTATATATGTTTTTCGTATTTGTATGAATTTTTCATATTGGTATTGATTTTTTTGTTAGTTGCATTTTTGTAACATTAATGAACGACTTTAACATAGTCTAATAGACTTAGACAACCAGTGAGTTAGTGACCACTAATGAAATTAAAGTGTTAAGTTGGTGATATGATTAAGAAAGAAAAAATTTGTTGACTAAACTAAAACAAATCGTTGATATGAGTGACCAAACATGGCAGTCATGAAAAGTTTTGAAGTCATTGGATGGGTTATTATGTAATGAGTTATTGTGAGGATGAAATAACTGACAAAATGGTTTTGAAGTATTTGTGAGTTATTTCGGAATAACTACTCCAAAGTGGTATTCTTAATAACTTGTTATTGAATTATTTCAGAATAACTCGATACAAATAACCCATCACAACCTTTTGCCTACAAATGGGTTATTTGAGTTATTTGGCTCATAACAATAACTCATTCCGTGAGTGTATGTAAAATATGGAACATGAACATTGTAGTGACTTAAAAAAGAAAACATTGTTGTGTGTGTGTTCAATTTGATTGTTATGAGCGTGTGTTTACTTTATATACTGTTTTCTTAGGAATCGTACTTTTACTGTGTTTTCACTTCATTTCCAGGGTTCTATTCAATCAAACAATTACTTGTATAGTTGTAGAGAAATAATAATAATAATAATAATAATAATAATAATAATAATAATAATAAGTTACTTATTTCATGTGGTGTGGGTAGGGATGGAAGTTTGGTACCGGTATTTGGGATATATCGCATATCGTACTTAATTTGTCTATATTTGGTATTATCGAATACACATATTATTTTTTGGGATTGAGATTGAATTTCAATTGTAATTCGGTATTAGGGATTACGGATTTGGGATCGGTATATACCGAAATACCGATCAATACGAAATATAAGCTAGTGTTTATTTTATCTTCTCAACTTGACTCTCTCATTCACTACTACATGACCCTCAACCACCAAGAGTGTCACTCTCATCTCTCACCTAATCGCTTGTTATGTTCATAACAAAAAAAAGCGCTATATTAGTCGTCTCTCAATCTCCAATTCATCAAATTAAAGATTACCAATGACAAGAATTTGAGATGTCACATGTCCTTCATTCTCCTTATCCATATCCTAGCTCTAGGCAAACTTAAGACTCTTTGTTTAGTCTCTTTGCCTTAAATTAAACAATCAAATCTAATTTATATATTTAATTATTAATTTCAAATGTAATTAATTTCGTATTCAATAATACCGATTAGGATACCAAAGTATTGATTGGGATACTGGAATATTTAGAGATTGGGTTACCGAAATTATTTAAAAATTAGAAATGTAATTGATTTTTGGATATAATCCAGTATTAGTAATTTCAATATTTGATATTGAATACCGATACGATATTAATTTACACCCTAGAGGTGGGTGGGGTCGTGGGGAAGAGGAGCGGAATATGGGGGCAGGGCAGGCAGGGTCACGTGTGAGGATGGAGAAATGTGTGCGGTTGCGGCTATGTAAAAATGAGATGTCCCCTGTGGCTATAGAATGGATAAATCTAATAATAATACCATGCATAAACCTTTCTAGTTAATTAGTTTTGATTTATTTTGGTAGGAATAAAAGCATCTTTTTGTTTTGTTGGTAGGAAATAATTTTCATTTTCTACTGTCTACGAAGAATAAGACTGAGAGATTCCCCTTTATTTTATTTTCTTGTTCTTTGTCTATGTATAACTTCTGGAAACAAGCTTTGTGTTTGCATGTGTGTGGGCCACATGCAATTACAGTTAAGGCCCGGAAGGCAGAACCAAATCCATCCATGGAGCGAGCCGCGGTTGACCCATGACCATGTGCGAGCGAGCGAGAGAGCGACCCACAGATTGGTAGGAAAGGAAAGGGTGGTCAGAAAAAGTCATCCCACATCCGACGCGCATGCCATCCATCCTCCGCCGCGCTTTCTTCTCCGTCCTACTCGTTTACTGAGTCAGCCCCCTACGCCCAGCTTAGGATAGGATCAGTAACCAATAATTACTGACATCTGAGTAACTAAATTTGAACCTTTAAATTTAAGTGGGACCAGAAAATCCAGATCTAAGGATTGTCAATTAAAAACA